TTCACTATAACCTCCACCTCCCAAGCTCAATCAGTCCTCTCACCTCAGACCCCCGAGTAGCTGGGACTAAAGGTGCATGCCACTGTGCCCAGCTAATTTTTGTATTTTTTGTAGAGATGGGGTTTCGTCATGTTACCCAGGCTGATCTCACACTCCTGGCCTCAAATGATCCTCCCACCTCAGCCTCCCAAGGTTCTGGGATTACAAGCCCAGCTATATAGCTTTTTAATCATTGATGTGACTAGAAATCAGTTCCCTTTGGGAATATCTTTTAATTTTGGTGTGTCTAGAAAGTATATTCAGTAAAAAGTTGGCCAAATCGAATCTTCTCTTTTTAAAAATAAAAAATTTAAAATGTGACTGAGAGGTTTGGTTTGCTTGAGATCACAAAGTAGTTGGAACAGAGCCAGTATCTCATCCAGATTTCTTATTTCCAAGAACAGTCTTTTCTATTTCAAGGTATTTTCACCTTGTCTTAATTTGTATTTCTGGTTTTATGATCCAGTGATCTATAAGCAATACCTCATAATTTTACCTTGAAGAACTCTGGATTAAAACAAGCATTTCTAATCTTTAAAACAGTATCACTTTAAAAATATACATGGTATTTGTGTTTTAACTCTCTCATTGTGATTTTCTTGTGAGAATTTTCATTGTAAGAACTCTCTTTTTAATTCACATACTTCTGTTATTAGGTCTTTTTAAGATTGTGGCTGATAAAACTCCGTACCTTACTATGGAAGAAATCACAAGGACCATTCATATTGGACCAAGTAGACTAGGGCATCCTTGCTTTTATCATCAGAAGGATATAAAACTAGAGAGCCTCATCATAAAGCAAGGTGAGCAAATCATGCTCAACTCAGTTGAAGAGATCAATGGAGAAATAATGGTGAGCTGTGCAGTGGTAAGAAATCATCAAAATCATTCATTTAATTTGCCTTTGTCACAAGAAGGAGAATTCTACGAGTGTGAAGATGAACGTATTTATACCCTAAAGGAGATTGTTGAATGGAAGATTCCCAAAAACAGAACACGAACTGTAAAACTTACAGATTTTTCAAATAAGTGGGACTCAACGAATCCATTTCCTAAAGACTTTTATGGTACCCTGATTCTCAAGCCTGTTTATGAAATTCAAGGTGTGATGAAATGTAAGTATCCACTGAGAATGATGCTCTATGAGCATGAGCATTGTGGGTTTTGGGAAAGAAAGGTTTTAGACCCTGAAGAACGAGGCTTGGTCTTTATTTCAACTATTAAGCCTCTGAGAGTTAGATTCCTCATCGATCAATAAGCAAACCATATATCAGTTGCAAAGATCAAATTGAATAATGAATATACAGATATGTTGCAAATTGTATGGTACTATTCACATGTGAGGTGCTATAACTATCAGGAACAGACAGATCAAAATACTAATTTATTTTTATTCATGCCAGTTAAATATGGCTAGAAAAGAGCTACTTTAAAAAATAGAACATATTTGGTTAGAATGAGGCTTTTTTATATGGAGGTGGTCAAGAAAAGAGGTAAATATGCAAAGCTCCCTTAATGCATCCATTCCTTCTATTTTTCTGGTGGCCTTCCTTTTCCCCAGCCACCCATTATTGGCTACAAATCTCTCCTAACCCAGAGCTCCTCTGTCTTAAGGGAAAATGATGGATAAATTAATTCACACATAGGCAGGTTTTAATGTGCAACCTTCATAGAATTATTTGTGTTTTGAAATAGGAATATCTGGAGAGAGCATTGTTACTGAAAAGTTATTAATATCTTGAGTTTTCAGGATTATGACACATGAGTAGGATGGATAGTAGAGAGTCCTGAATTTGGAGACCTAGATTCTAATTCTGGATAAATAACTTAATAGGTGGTGGGTTTCAGTGCACCATTTAAACTCCCTGTTTATGCAAAGAAAATGATGATACTCTTTTGCCTACCTTTTGAAGTTGTTTTGAGAGAGAAATTAAGGCTTTATTAAGGTACTATTATGCTATACAGTTGAGAATAAAAAACAGTATGTAAAAATAATTGTTCAAATGATCATCCTAAGGTATCTTTAAAAAAAATGTATTTTACTCTGCTCCCATTAATAGTGTTGGCCACAAACAATTATTTAAAAAACAATATGAATCTTTTGGTAAGTATTAGAATTCTAATCTATCATAAATTTTGTCAAAACAACCATTTAACTAGAAATTAATTGATTCATTTTTGAGCTAAAGGTACAGGTAAGGAATTCCACTTGAATGAATACTAAAAGTATTACAAACAATTGAGGCCACAGCAAATTTTAGACCCCACATTAATGTTCTGTTAGTCCCTAATTGTGCAATTGAGATTTCCTTGATTTTTATAAATAATAGGATTTTCTCCTTTTAAAATTTGTTACTTTCTAAAACTATTGGCATCTCCTGCCTATTGCATAGTTACAAATGAGGGTAAACCCAGCACCTAAGCACATGGATAAGGCGGTTACAACACTTAATAAATTAAATTAGGAAGCAAGAAAGGCTTCTCTGAGGAAATGGCATTTAGAGGAATACTCAGATGAAGCATAGGAGGTAATCAGGCCAAGAAGAAGGGGACAAGATTGGAGAAAGTAGGAGCAGTATGGGGGAAGCAGGTGAACAAGAGATGGGAGCGCTAATGTAACTGACGTGAGGAAAAAAATGGAGAGGGCAGGTTGAAACTAATATGACTATATGAAGTGGTGAGTGAAATCAATCATGGAGAGTCTTGAAATATATGCTAAGAGGCTAAAGTTTGTCTTAAAGGCAAATCAGCAAAAGCCTTTAAGAGGAAGAGACCAGAAGAGAGGAGAGTAGTGAGGCCAGTTGGGTGCCAGGGTATAGATTTGTACAATAGAGACATCAGTGGGAGAGACAGAAAGTCATAGTTGGGCTTTATGGGTATTTAAGAATTACAATGAGCAAAATGTGAAGGTCTATTGGAAGGGGAAAGAGGCCAAACTGGTTCCCAGTCTTCTGGCTTGATCTACTGGATAGAAGTACAGTTTATTGAATGTAACCATCAGAAAATCAGGGGAGGTTAACATATTTGTTTAGGTAGGACTTATCTGTGAATTTATGTTAACCAAGACCCAGAAGAAAGCTCTTGTTTGAAATAGTACCCTTTACAAAATGTTTTAGTTTTAGGAGGGAGTCTAATATACTTGGTCAAATGCTGCTGAGATCTTAAGTAAAATAAGATAGGCTAGCATTATGTCAGTGGATTTAGGCACAGAAGTATTGAAGATAGGTCAATAATTGAATACAAAAAAATTAAGGGTTGACCTAGCATGCCCTGTAAGCTTTCTCCAGCAGCAATAAAGTCCTCCAATGCATTAAAGCTATTCCTAGCCCACAGCACCCACCATGTACAAAGAAAGATTGGGATCTGGCTTGCATTGAAACTCTAATCTTCTGGTGGATCAATTCTGAGTTCTCTGGAAGACCTTGATGGGATCTGTTCTACCAAACTCTAGCTGTTCCCTAGACTTGAGGAATGGCACGAGCCTATCTAAAGCTAGGTCTAGTGTTCTTAAACCTAGCTCATTTTGTTTCAAATAACGTGGATTTTAGTTTCTAAACTTACCTTGAGGTTCAGGGAAGTCACCAGGAACAAAATCAAAAGTTAATGTATGCTAAACTTTATAAAACAACTTATTAAAGTAAGAAGTGCTCTTTCAGCCATCCCTTTTTCAGTTTTAGTCCAATTCCCATTCTTTAATGCTATTTAAATTAAATTTCAATTTTAATTATAATTTCATAGGGATTATTTTAAACATTAGTTCCTATTGTATAGCAATTTTGGAACAGATATTGCATGGAACTGGCTTGCATGTGTATTCACTGAAGAATATTCCCTGGAAATAGAGGATGGGTGTCTATCACATATACCTAATTTTAAAAATTTTTATTGTTGTAGGCATTTTTGCCCCAAATATGAAATGTAGACCATGTTTTGAATCCATCATGGTTTTGTTTTAAATGATTGTTTCTTACACTGAAGATTCAAACTTGCCTTGACGTCAAGAAACATTACTAAATTGCTTTCTACAGGCCTTGAATGTCAGGCACAGGTCAAATTCTTGGCTAGAGTTCTTCCTTTCCAAAGTGACAAGAAAAAGAGTAGGTCTGGTCAGGGAATAGGAAGTTTTATAGAAATCTTAGGGGAAAGAGCAAGATGAAAAATACTGAGAGCTATAGGGTGCCATGAAATATTGATCTACTGGAAAGAGGATATAACAAATAAATAGAGATAAGAGAGAATATAAGATATTCTGCTCCTATTAACAGTTTTTAATTATTAATATGAAAATTTGGGCTTCGTAAAAAATAAAAGTAACAGAAAGTGTTTAAATAAAGTATTTGTGTCTGGAAACTTGGCCAAAACCTCTGTTATAGGCCTGAAGCCTCCTAACCCTTACCACATATGTAACGATTTAGAAAAAAATATCCCTCTTTGGTAAACAGATATACATAACAGTGCAAACTTGAACTACTAGTCTTATATATGTCACTTCATAATGTGTATTGTGCCTTTCTTAGGAAGATAAAATTCAATAGCATAGTAAATGGAATACATAATATTTGCAAATGAAGAAAATTGAGTGAGCTATTTAATTTGCCTCTGAAAAAGAGAGGTTTTGACCATTAAAACTTTTAAAATGTGGCATGCTTTGACATGTAGATTGACAATTAGTTCTTCCCTAAGTGAAATTTCAGAGTTGTATAACTCCCTTTCTTTTATGAAAAAAACCTTAATGCCTTTCAACTTTTGGGGGTATGATTTTAGCCCAGATATAGAAAATATTAATTCATTTCATAAGCAGAGGAATGAAATCACACAAATGAAAAGTGGTATCAGAAAGGTTGTATCTTCATATTGTATAATCAGTGATACATGAATAGCAGAAAAATAACACTTTGGTCTTTAGAATTCTGAGACTTCCTCTTTCTTTCATTTAATTTTTAAAAATAATTTCAATATTTATCAAAGTCCGAACAGTCAAATAGTAAAAAGAATTATAACAACGTTATCAGCAAACTTTTATGCCTTGACACGAGGGCCGAATTCTCCTAATATACTGCTCTTTTGAGGTAATGCCTTTAAATATTTTTCCCCTACTTTCTGGTACATTTCTAAATAATAAAGGAATATTGCTCTTTTCAAGTCATCATCTTTAAGATAGTAACTATTGACTTTCACATAAGACAATGAAGACTTAATTCCCTTACATTCCTACTTTTCCTTCCCTATTCTCTCAGTATATTGTAAGTTATAGCTAAACATTAATATTTTCATTATTGTAACAATTCACTGCTTAACCAAGTGGTGTATAATGAGTATAATTCCATTTCTGCATAACTGTTTTTCTGTGATGATGACCTTATCATTTTCTTTGTTTGATTTTCTTCAGTCTTATCCTAAGTCTTAAGAACATTCTTCAACAACTCCATAAAGAAAGGCCACTCAGTGTAATTTTCCACAGAGCCCAAACTGTCAGGAAGGCTACCTTTTCTATTAATTTATTTTCCTGAAGGCATTCCTTTGTAACTCTTCATTTTCATGTTCCAGTTGGAATTGCTTATTCTTGAGACCGACTGCATAGGTGCTGTCCTGGGAATTTCATTTGAAAATCATCCTGGTGGTTCCCTGTCACTTGTACTTGTGTCTGTGTTGACTAGCTATTTCTGGAATCAAATAACTAATTCCCTCTGTCTTGACTTCCTTCATTTTGATGGAAGCCAGCCTTCACTTGCTTCCTGAAAACGATGCATGGACTAGCAAGTACTTAGACAGCCTGCATGTTTAAAAAAATATTCTATACACATATAAGAATGATAGTTTGGCTACTTACAGAATTCTAGATTGAAAATAAATTCTCCTCAGAATTTTGAAAACTTTACTCCCTTATTTTCTCCCATCCAGTATCACCTTGGAGATAGTATACAAAATATTCTGAAGTTTCACAATAATGTGACTTGTGGCGGATCTGTTCTTTCACTGTGATGACAGTTTTCAATCTGAATATTTAGGTTCTTCATGTCTGGAATAATTTCTCTGATAATATCTGCTTAATTATATTTTATCTTCTCTCTGTCTTTAATTTCGCATCTCATATTGAAATTCCCGTACTCATCTT